GGGAAGCAAGGGCAAAAATGAACTATTGGGACTTCATCAAGATAAAAAGCTTTTGCACAGCAAAAGAAACAGTCAACAAAACCAAAAGACAACCGACAGAATGGGAGAAGATATTTGCAAATGACATATCAGATAATGGGCTAGTATCCAAAATCTGTAAAGAACATATTAAACTCAATACCCAAAGAACAAATGATCCAATCAAGAAATGGGCAGAAGACAGGAACAGACATTTTTCCAAAGAAGACATCCAAATGGCCAGCAGACACATGAAGAAGTGCTCAACGTCGCTCGGCATCAGGGAAATCCAAATCAAAACCTCAATGAGATATCCCCTCACACCAGTTAGAATGGCTGAAATTAACAAGTCAGGAAACAACAGATGTTGGCGGGGATGCGGAGAAAGGGGAACCCTCCTACACTGTTGGTGGGAATGCAAGCTGCTACAGCCACTCTGGAAAACAGTATGGAGGTTCCTCAAAAAGTTGAAGATAGAGCTACCATACGATCCATCAATTGCACCACTGTGTATTTACCCCAAAGATACAAATGTAGGGATCTGAAGGGGTACGTGCACCCCGATGTTTATAGCAGCAATGTCCACAACTGCCAAACTGTGGAAAGAGCCAAGATGTCCAACGACAGATGAATGGATAAAGAAGATGTGGTATAGATATACAATGGAATACTATGCAGCCATCAAAAGGAATGAAATCTTGCCATTTGCAACAACATGGATGAAACTAGAGAGTATTATGCTGAGCGAAATAAGTCAATCAGAGAAAGACATGTGTCATATGACCTCACTGATATGAGGAATTCTTAATCTCAGAAAACAAACTGAGGGTTACTGGAGTGGTGGGGTGTGGGAGGGATGGGTTGCCTGGGTGATAGACATTGGGGAGGGTACGTGCTATGGTGAGTACTGTGAATTGTGTAAGACTGTTGAATCACAGACCTGTACCTCTGAAACAAATAATACATTATATGTTAAAAAAAGAAGAAGAAGAAGAAGAAGATAGCAGGAGGGGAAGAATGAAGGGGGGGAAAT